CCTAGCCAAGAATCCTTCTTCATCACAAAACCAACTCCTCAAAACGCTCCCTTTTTAACACCTATTTTTCTAACTAGAGTCTTTTCTCTTACCAACTCCAACCTATACATTCGAAGATGGTTTTTGGTTAGATATTATAATGTCTCTATGTGTCTTGTTGATGAAGGTTGTTTTTGGTGATGAAAGATTTCTATGGTGAGTTCTGTGCTTATGATAAGGTGGTGATTACGATGACTTTGTCTTTCGTCGAACATTGTGTGGTGAGGAAGGGTGGTGAGATGTGGTGCTTGATGTGGCGTTTTTTTGGTGAGGAAATGATGATGGTGAGAAATGTTTAGTACTTTTGGAGTGGAGGAGGAAGGTGAAGAAGATAGTGAAAAAGTGGTCGATGGTTGTAGCTGGTGGGCTTCTTGCTGATCTAGCTCTATCGGGGAGACAGGGCAAAAGATTAGTTTTTTGTTGGTGACAGTAGTTCGCAATGATGGTTTTTTGCTATGGTGGAGGTTTTTTGTGGTTGTCTTTTTGGAAAGGGTTCTGGAAAAGGGAGAACAGAGGCAAATGGAAGAAGGTTGTTGGTGGCCTCTCGGCCGTTTTCAAGTGAGTTTTTTTTTTGAGGGATCAACAGAGGTCAATCCATGGTTGATGAATGAGATTATGGTGGTGCTGTGGAATGAAATTGTGGGACCAAGGCTTTTGCGGTATATTGTGGTGGGCTGAGAAAGGAGATAGTGTGAGGTTTGGCGCATCGTCTTCTTTTCTATTAGAATCTGTTTAAAGGGGTGATTTGAGGAGTTAGTTATGCAATGGAGAAGATTGGTGTATGAAGTGAATTTTTGGAAGATGAAGGACAGTGAGTGAAAAAAAATAAAAAAGGATCAAATTTGCCCCTAATCTCTGCGAAATGGTCCGGATATAGCAACCGTTACTAGTTGGCTAAGTGGGGAACATATAGCAGCCTTGGGTGCTAAAAAAGTTTTTAGATTCTAGTTAGATCCAACTAATGTTCTGGCTGTCAATAAGGGCATATATGTTCGACTTTCGTAACGGCAAGGACACAATTGACCCCAACTTTTAATGGAGGACATATCTAGGCCATTTCGCATAGTTCAGGGGCAAATTTGACCTTTTTCGCATCTAAATCATTTTGCATAGTTTAGGGGTAAATTTGACCTTTTCCCTTATTTTAAAGTTTAGATTATATATCTCCTTACCATAAGTGGTAGAGTTTTCGAATCTGAACCGGTTAATTACATGTAGTAAGGTGAGATGTAGATCTTTCCACCTACATGTAGTAAGAGACTCGTATTACACGAAAGGAGATGTTTGGTGGCCTGGAGGATTTTTTTTTCTTTTCTTTGGAAGGTAGAGTCGTAGCCTACCAATGGCCGATATATGGATATAATGTGACAGAGAAGGTAAAACAGAGAAGAAATTGTTATTTGAATACAACAAGAAAGTGTGGAGAGCTTTTGTCTTTTATCTTTGACAACTCGGGGTTCGTTATTACAATCCGGCAATGGCATGCATTTTGTGAAAAGCAGAGCCATCAACCATAAAGTATGTTTCTACGTTAATGTTTGGAAGGACTTATAGCTTGTGTTCTTTTCCTTTGTTAACTTCGTTCCACTATTATTTTTCTCCAATTGGAACACTATACGAGTAGCTCTATAAAGAGTAAGACGAAACCCATTTTACTTATTAATAAAAGAAATGAGATGAAACCCCTCTTAATATGATAGACATAATTGCAAAAACCTACTAAATCCCCTTGCCAAGCACCGAGTCTAGTTTGAATTTTGCGGCAGAAGTAGCTCCAATCCATACTAACTTCAAGCAAAGAAAGGACTGGGTTATCCGCTAATTCTGGAACTTATCTTATCATTAAGGGGCAAGGTGTTATAGAAGGGTGTAGCTTGAGACTTCTCAGCTGCAGGAACAAGAATTCCAAAATAGAATGACTTCGCAATTGCAACCACAAGAAAGCCACCGCCCTCAGCCTTTAGGGATAGAGACAATGGCTATTAGCTTGGGGCTATCCTCCATATATGAAATTAAGAACCATATACATTGTTAACGGCATTGCTGAATGATATTAGTCAGTAAGTCTCTGCCAATCGTACATATTTTTCTTTCTTTTTCTCCTTTTTACAGTATCTTTTGATATACCTTCATCGTCATTTTTTTTCCCTTTATGGGTGATGTTGCTTTTATGAATGTCTCGTCTGATTGATATTTCGTAAGAACCTGCATGTGGGGATCAGCAGTCTCAGGAAGTTACATTTGATCAAATTGCTTTTAGGAGTATCCCATTCGTACAATTATCCACGATTGCTGCATGTTGTACCAGCAGACTTTGGAAGTGATTCTTATTTAACAGCTTAGCGTTTTCTGTTCAGGATGGTGTCATTCTTGGAGCAGACACACGAGCGACTGAAGGACCCATCGTTGCTGATAAGAACTGTGAGAAGATTCATTACATGGCCCCTAACATATATTGCTGTGGAGCAGGGACAGCTGCTGATACTGAGGCAGTGACTGGTAATTGAGTTTGATATCCATGTATTTCTGTTTCTAATAATAACATCTCTTCTCAAGTTTCAAATCCTTGTCTCTCTTGTTCTCTCTCATACCTTAAGTAGCAACTGCTATTTTTATAGACATGGTCAGTTCCCAACTGAAGCTTCATAGGTATCACACTGGTCGTGAATCTAGGGTTGTGACAGCTCTTACTCTTTTGAAGACTCATCTTTTCAGGTGTGCTTATATTTTAATGTTGCTTCGTGATAGAATAACATCTTTGCATGCAATCAAAAAAAAAACAGAGGCTTAACTATGTGCTCTTAACCAGCTACCAGGGCTACGTCTCAGCTGCTTTGGTCCTTGGTGGGGTTGATGTCACAGGACCACATCTGCATACTGTGAGTGGTCTTTTGTTGGAGTCGCTTTAGTATATTATTATTTTTCCCATTGTAGAAATCCTGAATGTTGCTGGTCCATGGCCTGTTCTCAGATTTATCCACATGGATCAACCGATACTCTGCCATATGCTACAATGGGCTCTGGTTCCCTTGCAGCGATGGCAATCTTTGAGTCAAAATACCGGGAAGGGTTAAGTGTAAGCTCATTTCCTGCAGCTATGTTTAGTCCACTGGATTTGGCGTCTATGTACATTGTAAATTGTTAAATGTTGAGGTGGAGTTTTGGTGCAGAAAGATGAAGGGATAAAGCTAGTAGCAGAGGCCATATTGTCTGGGGTGTTCAATGATCTTGGTAGTGGAAGCAACGTTGATATCTGTATAATAACAAAGGTTTGATCTCCCTTTAGCAAGCAATGACAGAATTTTCTCCTTATTATACATAAAGCATGTAATATTTGGTCAGTATATCGCTTTAATACTTCTACCGGTGATTGTTAGGGGCACACGGAGTACTTGAGGAATCATATGTTGCCTAATCCTCGCACCTATCCACAGAAGGGTTACTCATTCCCTAAAAGGACTGGTTAGTGTTCTCATACTTGGTCAGTGAAGATCCACATAGCCGATCCTAACTTGTTTGGGACTAAAGCGCAATTGTTTGTAATGTTTTCATACTTGTCAACCTCCAATTCAACTGAGATATACCTTGTTAAAAAGTACAAATACGTTTCTTTCAAATGCTTTGCATTTTACTAATATTGTCAGTTGAATTGTTGTTGTGCTTACAGAAGTTCTTCTTACAAAGATTACACCACTAAGAGAGGTGGTAGAGGTAATTGAAGGTGGAGATGCTATGGAAGAATAGTTGTATTGCAATGATGAGTTCCATTGTCATTTCTTTGAAGAAGTTAAACTATTTCCAGGAGTATGAACTATTGTAATTTTTCTAAATGACCTACTAAATCTATTTCATACGTCGTATCTTTCAAACAAATTTGTTGCTAGAGAATGAAAGATTGGCTGGGTCTAAATGAAGGATTTTGTAGTTTTTGTTGGCCTAGTGGGGTCAATTGTTTTTCTTGCAGTTTAAGTCGAGTTTTTGGGTTGTTTGCGAAGGAAAGGGAGATAATTATCGTCAATTATGGCAGAGAGAATGACAAAGATGTTTGCCCTGGTGCTGTATATAGCTTTTCTATCAATATTTGCTGGGGTTACCATCTCCTAATTATTTTCTCAAATGTAGTAGAAAGCAAAATGACAGAAGGAAAACATTTGAAGTGTTATTGGCCAATTTTGGATAAAATCTGCTGAAATGATTATGAAAACCGCTGTATTATTGTAAAAAAGTTCCCCAATCGGCCCTTCCAAAATTACTGTAGGCAGTAATCCCTGGTATTATTAGAATGGTTTGTTTGCTTATCTTTCTCATTGGCCAAACCAAACCATTCCCAAATAATTGCGTCATACTATTGTTGCTTTTAAGGAATGCAAAGATTTAGGAAAGCCAAAAATAATCTTGTTTGATTCAAAAATAAAACTTTTTATTGGAAAACATTTCTAAAACCCAACTTGGCCAGCTCTCTTTTGTAAGCCAAACACTTCCGTCTTCAAAGTGCGTATTTCTTCTCGCTTCCTTTCAAGCTTATATGTATGAAGTAGTGCTCAGAATGTTCCTCAAATTGCATTATGAAGACCTTATTACTGAGTTATTCCATTATTACCACATGGAAAGCAAAAGTATAGTGAAGAAGGATTATCCACAAATAAACTGATCAAGAAATTCTTTTATCAGTTTGGAAGATGGAATGAATTGATGGATTATCTTCAAAATTTCAGCTCCAATGAGATCTATTATGGTCAAACGGCAAGCGCCAAGCCTGCACTATATCAAATTTAAGCAGTGTAATGTAGGAGGTTGTAACATCATGGGAGATGCAAGCTGTAAAATTTTGTATAATTTGCTCAAGAAATAAACCCTCAGTTGTATAACCGAAACCTTGATATTGAATAACTTTACTTCAATTGAGATGGACTTCTTTTGGGGGGAACAACAGGAACACACTTATTCTTGGACACCAAACATCAAAAACTTATAAATAATACTACTCTTTTCATGCCTGCCAACAGCGCATGAGAGAGGAGTCTAATTGTTAAGGCAAACGCCAGAGTTAAGTCACATGTATGGTTGAATAAATGAAAGCAACGCAGGAGCACATCCTCGTTAAAGAAGCATGTTGATGATTTTGATGTCCGACAAAACCTTAATCCATAAGATAGTGATTCCAAAATTCTTTTTGTGCCCACAAATCTCCAACGCTCATACAGGATGGTAAGAGCAGTACTCAAAGATCAGGAACAGCGTTGTCAACAAAATTGTTCCTTTCCAGATCCTCCAATGTACATCCTCATTTCATCCTTGCCAATTTGTAGGGAGCCAATTGCAAGACACGAGTCCTCAACTCTCTTAATCATCTACTACTCTTCACTACAGAATAATATGACAAACAAAAGACTAACTAAAATCAGCAGTAAATCTCTTAAACCAGCTTTCCACCTTTCATGCCTCAATCCGCATAATGAGCAAAACAAATGGGCTCGCTTTACTTTCAGAGTTTTCCCTGTCTCTGACTTTTCTTTTAATTCGTCCTGGAGGGACAGCAATTGCTCCTTCAGTAGCACGGCTAGAATTTGAAAAACATTTCCACCTATTCAACCAGTTATTCGAGAAGAAAATCCACTTGGACTGCAGAACATCATGCAGCGGGCATCCTCCCGTATCCTTCACTGTCAACTTTCTAGCAAACAATAGCGTCCGCCATGTGCTTGTGTTGACGAAGTTCAGAAAACACTCACCTGAGAAGGGAAGCACCAAGAAAACGAAAAACTAGTCAATGTTTAAATTTCTAACTTTGAAAACTCCCTACGTGCACATGAGACACAACCACTTAATTCAAAATTTGAATTGCGCTTTACAGCTTCCACCTGTCCCATTTGCTCTGTTATCTCAGGCCTCTCCTCTGAACCTATGCAAAGTCTAGACGGTCCGGCTTCTTCATCTTGCCGGACATATCTAACTAGCGCCGGAGCTTCAATCCACACAATGAGTCCGTAGATTGAACAGGGTCGTCTTGGGTAAACCTTTTCATATGTTAGTAAGGTTGGTTTTAAGAACGTAATAAACTACCCATACTAGTCTTGGGATTAAACTTGTTTATTTTCCTTTTTTAATCAATTATGCTCTAAAAAGAAGTTTTCAATATTAGATGTCGCTAGCAACTTTATTTCACTTAACATCCATCATCAACTTGTGGAAGATGGTTCCTGCAGTGATCATATGGTGCATTTGGAAAGAAAGAAATCAGCTAATTTGATGGAACTTCAACTCCAACTCTTGTTCTGAAGGCTAAAATTTTGATGCATCTTTTCATGGAGTAAACTTTGTAATGTAATTAGTATTTGACTTTTTTTGGATTTTGTAAGCTCCTTCAAATTTTTGTTAGGGTCATCTGCCATTGTCCAGAAGTTGACTTCTTTTGCAATTATTGTGTATCTTCTGGATTCTGAATGAATGAAATCTACCTTTACTTTCTTTTTAGATGACCGAGAAATCCATCTGGGCCAACCCTTAGGATCAACTGGAGCCTTTGAAACTATGACTCTAGTTTACACAGCACAAGGCTCAAACCTATGACTCTAGTTCCTCAGCATTTGCCACTTGAACTATGCCGGAGGCAAATGAAATCTACCTTAACCCGATCAAAAAAACTTTTATTTCCACTTAACAATCAATTCAACCAAGCAACCCTTTTCTGAAGGATCGCAGCTAAATGATCATGGTTATCTTTACCAGTTTGAATATGAGAGAAGCAAGACTATTAAGAAGAGTTAGGGTAATCAGATGTTAAATAGAATATGGAAATGGAAGCATTAAAAGGGAAGATAAGGACTTCCTTTTTGAATTATAGATGGAAATTTACGAAACCAAAACGAAAATAGTTGAGTTTTACTGAAGTCACCAAAGAAAGGTTTTAAAAGATCTCAGTAGCGAAGATTCATAAAGCTGACGCCAACTTAGTCATGATTGAGGCGTAGTTGTTGTTGTTCAGTAGTGAAGTAACAACCTGCATGTGAGCTACTAAGTCAATCGGTATAATTTCTCGGTAAGAATTGTTTTCTGGTTAACATTTTTATAACATAAATTCAATAGCTCATTCCTCTATTTAATGGGATTCACCACTTCAAGTCAACAAAAGGGGCCCACATTGATTTTTCGTCTTCATTCCTTCATTAATTTGAGATGGTGATGTCCTGTTAAAGAGAAGAACTAGTGCAATATACCCTGATTTACCTTCTCCTTTTTCAATTAGAAACTACCATTGTCAGTTGATGACACGACGGGTCTTAAACATTTGTCCCACCCAAACTTTCCTGTAAGAGAGCTAGATTTTCTCAGGACTGTAAGTTTAGAAACTGAAAGCAAAAACAGGCTTACCTTCTCCACAAGCTCTTGAATAGTATTTCCTGTTAGCATGGTGAAAAGAATCCATTGTACACTTTCCTCTTTTTTCCAAGAAGCTTGACCAGTTTGTTTACCATTGTGACCTGGTATATGAAAATTCAACCTCCTTCAACAAAAATTGGTGGCCAATTACCTTAAGGAGACCTAATTCAGAAAAAAGCCAACAAGAGGGATATTCACACTATTGAAAGACGCATAACAAGAATTAACAAAGAAGATGCAGATCAGACTTTGGGTTCTGGGGATATCAAAACCAAAAATGTAACAGAGTGCATCTCAAGTAGAATATTGACAAACATATGACTATTGACAGCTTTAGATGAGTTCAAATACAGCAACAAAACTAGCATGACAACCATAACAATTTATTTTCAGCATCACTGCAGAACCAAATAACAAAAAAGGGTGTAATAGCTATAACACCAAGCTCAATCTCACACGAGGGATGTATCATCCGCAAGATACGTATTTGATTGGCCAAATATGGGTTAAAAACTAAGTTGCTCCGACACATCACTTTAGGTGCCCCACCCGTGTCAACATGACACTAGTATGGGTGTGGGTATGGGATCCGTACCGGATCTGGTCAAACAATTTTGGGCACTTTGACCATAGCAGAAAGAAAATTTCGAGACGAGATACAATTTGATTCACAAAATCAGAACCAGAACTAGGGTACATTTGAAGAAAATAGCATACTTTATCTAGGAAATCAATCTTTTACTTATCTACAACTCGAGAATAAAAAAGAAATCCATACTTTACAAGCTATACGTAAGTATTCCACAAAATTTCTCATAATTTAGAGATTTTATATTTATATTTTTTTTAACTATTTTTAGTTGGATCCCCGCACCCGTATCCGTATCCGTACTAGGACCCATATCCCCAAACCGTAGAATTTACATCTCGAAGGATCCGACCTCTAGCTCAGCACCCGTGTCCGAGCAACTTAGGTTAAAAAACCTATAGAGAGGCATGTACAAGCCACAAGAATTGTTGCACCACATGGTTTTCATTTGAGGTGCTATAGACATATCCATTTAAGTTCCTAGATTTAAGGCATTAGCAGAAGATTTGTGCGCCATTATCATAATTAAACAATCAAGTGAATACACTTATACTAAAGGTTCTGATGGGCAAAATTATACCTAGTTCCTTAGCGATAATTGTGCTAAAAACATATGTTAGCAATACGGAGACAATTCAGACAATTGATAATGGTGTTTCTTCGTTTTGTTATACATTTTAGCAACTATATATTCACAGAATGATGAATAAAATCATGACATTTGGATAAGCAATTAAATGCAGCAAACACTGGGAGCCATCTGTCTATCATAATGCTGCTGTTCACTAACTTAAGGTAGCATGACTCACGGAAAACATGCCATTCACACTGAGATTCCATATAAGTTTATCCTTTGCAAGTGGATTCATTGCCACCTTTCTAGTTTAATATAAAGGTTCACTAACTCCCAAACCTCTCGTCGTGGAAGTTTCTTCTGAAAGATAGGTTCCAGGTATTTCCTTCTCTGCATTGCCTGACAGTAGCATGAGTGGATGAGCACAGTCAAGATCCCAACTAAATTAGGCTGTTTTAGCTGGGTGACACTAACAGGAGGTTGCCTTACATGAAATCCTAGCTAATAGAGGATTCTATCTAACCAGCATGCTACATGTGTCTCCAACACTGAGGATATTTGCCATTTTTTCTTACAGTGCCACACTGCAAGGGACATGGAGCATGTTCTACAGCCTTCTTGGGGTGCACTGGGCAATGGCAGTGCTGTCAAAGGCGAAAAGTGTTAAGAAGCGTTCCAGGTCTATCGGGGCTTTTAAGCGCAATTAAAGTGTCGGTTTTAGTTAAAAAAGGCTCAACAAAGAAAAAAATAAAAATATGTGTAGTCAAGAAAAAATTCATTTGCAATGGTTTCCTTAACAATTAATGTATCTTTGCAAATTACATTTATTGTTTAGTACCACTTCTTTAAGATAGAACTTATGGGCAATGAGACCCATACTTTAGTGCCTTGCCTACATTGAGATGCAACCTAAGTGCAGCGAAGTGCCTACCCTGAGCTTCTTTGAGCTTCAAGGCTTAAGTGCGCCTTAAATGAGCCCTTGACAACATTGTGATGCCTTACTGTGTTAGATATGCACCCAGGTGCTGAGGAGAGTGGAAACTGGAAAGTAAACAAATCATTTGGGAACTTTGGCAGATAGTAGCATGCATTTTTGGCTGCATATGGAATAATAAGAACCGAAGACGTTTTGAAGGAGTCTTAACCCCTTTCCATGAGCTTAATACTAAATGCATCTTGAACTTTTTTGTTGTTGTAATCTTCATTCTGTAAATAGTTTTAATGAGTTTTTGTGACTTTGTTAGCTCCTTAGAATGCATATAGGAGATTCAGTGTAAAAGGAGCTGACCAATTTTTTGCTCACTTTGCATCTACTGGATGCACTATCAATGAAACCTCAAATTTACAACAACAACAACAATATACCAGTATACTCCCACAGTGTGGGGTATGGGAGGGTAATGTATATGTAGAGGTAGAGAGGTTGTTTCCAATAGACCATGCATTTTTCACGTCAAGTTGGCGAATGGGCCAATTTCGTGAGATGGAAACTACTAGAACTGAATTTAGTAATCCGGAATGGTAAAGAAAACCATAATGGACTAAATTGATGAGAGGCATCCTTTCTTTAAGCGGTCCATATCTTGGCCACCACATCATTTTGAACTATTCGCGGCTCAAGGGAAGCAATTCACATCAGGAAACCTCTAATTTACTGATCAAAAAAATAAATAAGGAAACAACTTTAAGTGCCTTCAGTAATCAACTTTCCTCTGCAGTAGAGGCTCTGACTAAAATCTGTAGTGATACACTGATACTAAACTTTAACCAAATTTTGATAAATACTGCCTCTATCATTCTACTGTCAGAATTGGAACTCCTAAGTCCAAAGATCATTACCTAATGATTTTTTCACCTAAGTCCTACTGTTTCATAAGCATCATTTCTTTACAAATTGCAACTGTTCACCCACACGCACACATTTGCGGATTCAAAATAGTAACTTATTCTCATTTCATGGATTTCTTTTCATTTGAGCTGTGAGGCGAAAAGAGCAAGGTCCGTGTCAACAACATTTTTACCAGAGTGAAACTCCAGGTTCCACTTTTAGTTCCTTGTTGATGCACAATTAATACAAAATATTTTCAATACTCAAAGTAACTGCAACCAAACGGAATGTGTGTGCGTCTGAGAGAGAGGGAGAGACGGAGGGAGGCATGGAGGGATGGGAGGGGGGGGGGGGGGGGGTATGGGA